ACCCTTAGAAACAATTTGTCTAATGATTTTTCATGAGAAATATCGAATAGTGATTATCGACTAGTATAAATATTTGATAGTTATAAAATCTACTTAAATAGTTTCAAAACTATTATTGGTTGTTTATTTTAGTTATCATAGAATTCAAAGGTCGCAGTATGAGGGAATTAGTATTTCAGTACTAAAACCTGAATCCTTTAGGCCGTTCTTATAAGTACATCAAGCAAACCGATAGGAGTACCTTGCTATGCGGAGCACGTTAAATGTTTAACACAAAATGTATAACTTCAGAATTATTATAACAAAAATGTACTGAACATTTAATTATTAAAATGACTAAAATTCAAGTTTCTATACAAAAAAAAATATATTAAAATTTTTTTATTTTTCAAAAAGTTATGGCCGTTAAAAGTATTAAAATATTTCATGTTAAACAGTGATTTTTTAAAAAAAAATTACATTTTTCGTTAAACTTGACGATCATTTTCTCACAGAAGAAAATGTGTCGAGACAAATTTTTTGAGATTTTCCCCATTTAAAGAAATCAAACATTTTTTTATCGATATTGTATATACTTTGGGAGTAATCGGTAGTTTATGATAAACAAATCACTTGTTGATGCACCACACTAGAATGCCGTTTTACCTTAAGCCTGTTTAAATCGCTATTATTGATGCGGGAGTGGGTCACCTAGGGGATGACGGCAAACGACACATCGAATAAGTATCGAGAGTAGAAAATAATTAAATAACAAATAACCACATATATTAGAAATTCTTCAGAGATTATCTTAAATTTAAGAGGTAACGGAGGCGAAGCGGCATAAAACAACATAGTTAATCTCAATTAAAAAAAAACAATAAATAACATTAGAATTATTATAAAACTCAGATGAATAGATGAAGTTGTTGATAGTAATGAGTGGTATTCTTTTATCTGGTATTCTTGAAAAGATGAGACTATGTATATAACCAGCTAAAATTTCGCTTTCCAAGATTGTATGTTATCTAGTAATTGAAAAGTTTAGATCATAATCGAATCAACTGTCGTTCGTTGTTAATGAATTTAATATTTAACAATTTTCTTATATTTTATACTTACGTTTCTAATTATAAGACTTAAAAAAAGTTTAGATTTAAATATTAAAAAAAAAAATGGCTTCAGCATCTCAAATGAACCTTCGTGATACAAATAAAATTTATTTAATTGGTTTTATGTCAAATCAAATCGTCGGCAGTAAGTTGCCATCAAATAAACAAGTACTACGTGTTCTTTTTTATAAAATGCGCGTGGTTAATTTAAATGTTCACGATAGTGCTTCATTAGTGTACAATAAAATCGAAATATTTTGCCAAAAAGCCAGAATACCTATTAAAAAAAAATGTCACTCCGTTAAAAAAATTGAATTATTATACAATGACTGGAGAAAATTACAAAAACATGCGACTAGAAAGTCATTATCAGACACAAGAAATGAAGAGGACTTTGTCAATAAGCTTCATGACTTATTTGATATCGCTCATTCTGACGCTTTAAACTTAATTAAAATTGAAGTTGATAAACAATTTTTATTGGCTCAGAGGGAAAAAGGAAGGTCAGGCTGTATGTTAGGTGTCGATAAATTCAATGAAAAATGTGAAATGAATCAACAAAATAACAATTTAATATAATCCAAAGAAAAAGATAAGCTTACGATGAAATGGAAGTTTTAGGTAATTATAAAAATATCTTAAAATATTTCCAAAGTAGTAAGTCAACGTCTTTATTATTATAGATCATGTCGTTAACTTAGAAATGTTATATTCATCTTCAAACAGTTCTAGTGAGTGTGATGAGACCGAAGAAGTAATTGAAAAACCTAATCTTCCCCAACTTAGAGGTATAAAAAATATTTTAACCGACAAACTTACTGCTGCATTTGATAGGTGTAAAATAAGCGACAGAGACGCTGTTCATATATTAATGGCAACCGCGGAATCGTTCGGTCTAGATACATCTCAATTAATTATAAATAAGACCTCAATTAATAATTTTCCAAAACGTTTCCGTGAAAACCTAATAAAAAAAATAAGTAGTAATTTTAATTTATCGACATTAGGTCCATGCACCATTCATANATCGACATTAGATCCATGCACCATTCATAGGGATGGAAAACTTCTTCCTTCATTATCAGGACATCAACTAGTTGAAAGATTACCAATAATTGTGTCAAATAATAATATAGAACAATTACTCGATGTGCCTGAAATTTCTTCTGGTTCGGGACAAAGTCAAGCAGCAGCTGTATACGCAGCACTTGAAAAATGGGGTTTAACTGACAAAGTTAAATCATTATGCTGTGACACTACTACTTCTAATACAGGTAGACTTAAAGGTGCCTGCATATTACTGGAGCAAATGTTAAGGCGTGATATTTTATACTTACTATGTAGAAATCACATTTATGAAATTATATTGAAAAGTGTTTTTAAAGTAAAATTTAATACGTCATCTGGACCAGATGTTCCTATTTTCAATAAATTTCAAAAGTCTTGGCAAAATATAAATAAAACAAATTACTTAAGTGGAATAGAAGATAGTGTTATTTTAGAAAAATTAAAAACAAAAAAAGACGATATTTTGAAATTTAGTTTTGAACAATTACAAAAATACCATCCTCGAGATGACTATAAGGAACTTTTAGAATTTGTCATAATATTTTTAGGTGAAACACCTTTAAATGGAATTTATTTTAAAATTCCTGGCCCAATCCATCATGCTCTTTGGATGGCAAAGGCCATTTATTGTTTGAACATTTTTTTGTTTCGGGGCCAATTTGAATTGTCAATCAAAGAGTTAAATAATATTCGTTCATTATGTATTTTTATTACAAGTTTATATATTAAACAATGGTTTAGTGCACCAAATGCTACATTAGCGCCAAATTTAGATTTACAATTTATTAAAAATATAATTGATTATGAACCAATAGATAAAGATATTTCTAAAGTAGTTTTAAAAAAAATTTCCGGTCATTTATGGTACTTAGTATCCGAAACGGCAACAATGGCATTTTTTGATGATAATTTATGTGAAGATACTAAAATAAAAATGGTAAATTCATTAAATAATCGGGAAGAAGATCCATGTATAAACAAACGTATAGTAGTAGGAGTAAATGAAATTTATGATTTTAAAAATAAAAGTATAGTTGATTTTATTTTAACTGAGTCAAAAAAGTTATTTGAAAGATATTACATTGAAACTGATTTTTTAAATATCAATCCTTTGTTGTGGAAAGACAGCAGTCAATATATCAGAGGAAAAATAATTTAAAAGTTATAAATGAATTGGCAGAAAGGGGCGTGAAATTCATAAAAGAGTATAATAATATTTTAACAAAAAACGACGAAGCACAAAAAGAATACCTATTACAGATTGTTACAGAATACCGGCGTTGTTTTCCTAATTGCAATAAAAGCACATTATGCCAAGAATTTTAAAAAAGATAAATTATTTAAAATATGTAGTAAATTTTTTTAGTACGTTTTATTTTGTAAATAGTTTCTGATTGTATATAAATTTGTAAGTTAACATTATTTTAGCTTCAATGTGAAGCTGAGACGGTATTAATTTTACTCTAATGTGTTTTTTTTTAATTAAAATTAAAAAAATTGTAGGTTTTGAATAGTACATAATTGAAAAAATGTCGAATTAAAAATTTATAGAAAATTAAATTTAAAACAACGGTTAAACGAATTTTTTTTTTTTGTTTTTACAATGAACGATTTATAAATTAATAATTTTAACGATAAGAATAGAACACATACATTTTTATTTTTTTAAGACTCAATAAGAACTTTTCGAAAATTTTTGTGAATATACTTTTTATAGAAAAATTGTATACCTACAAAAAAAATCGAATAAACTTTTTTGCAAAAGTTAAAGTTTTTGAGATAGACAAAAAAAAAATAAAAAATCACCCTTGGGGGGTTATTTTTAACTCTCTCAGGGCACGTCTTAGAATTGACCAATCGTCTCCAAATTTTGTACAATTTATTTTTTCATGTATTTGAATAATTCCCTAGAATTATTAGAATAAGTACCCCCTAGGGTGGCACTTACAAATATTAAAAAAAAAAAACCTCTCATGTAGCTAAGGGTCACTCTACTTTACACGGATGACAATTGACACGGAGATCATCGATTTGGTGTGTTGGGTGGCCAAAGGGGTGAGTAAAGTAAGTCGCTAGAGATCAGCTATCCCACGAAATAATATAATCAACGATGTTAATAACAACTGGTCTACTAAATCTTTGTTAAAGACGTTCTGTACCAAACAATTTTAGTTAAAGTATTAAATGTTGTATTATAGAAAATATTCTTTTATTTTTTATAGCGTATTGTATTAATGGTTTATATATGAACATTTTGTCGTACAATTTAAATAAACACCAATAGCTTTTTATTTTCGTTTGGAATTTAATATTTCAAAACAATATAAACTGTTTAATTTTAATTTTTTTTCAGATTATAGTTTAATGTCTAGTTAAACTTTTTTGTGAAAAAAATTTAGGGAATCCGAAAATGAATACTTTTTATGAATATAAAAATGCTTCAAAAAGACTGTTTGAAAATATTAGAACTTTAATGGTGTATTTAAGAAAAATCCTTAAATTATAACTAGTTTTCTTTGTATTACTAAAAATCATTTTTTAAATCAAGTTGTAATGTATTATTAATTAATTTTTTTATAAGCTCATAATAAATTATGTTATGATTGATTTCAGTTTTGAGATTTTTTTTTTAATAACTACGCATTACTAAAAAACTATTAACTATTAGTTTTTATTTACATTTTACAATATTAGATTTATAAGTAAAATTATGAATATGTCTTTAATAATAAAAATTGTTTTCAGTTACTAAAATCAATATTATTTGACTATATGCAAAATATCATATGCTGTTTCTAATTTATAGTTACACAAAAACAACATAATAAATCTAATTCGATTATATTAAAAATATCGTGAATACATCAATCTATGATTAAATTTAATAAAAAACGAGCAAAATTGTTTGCTATCTCCAAAACTATGAGCGGAACTAAAGCAAAAATATTGGGTTACTGAAATGATATGCTCACAAAGCCCTCCCTCTCGAATAACTTTCCTTAAATAATTACCTACCAGAAATATTGTTAACAAATAACATAAAATTTGGAACTGTTATTTTACCCAACACTGCTGGTAGTGCCCACGGTGACTTCATTGTACTTATTCATAAAATGTACTTATTTAAGAAAACTCATTTTTTTATTACATAAATTCATATTATAAAAGTATTAATTATTAAAAGTATGAAGTATTAATTGACTCAGTTAAATTTTATTTAGCTTAGAAATTATTATCACATTTCATAATTAATCTAAACGGTAGACTACTATTACGAAGTGAATCAAAGCATTCCATTAGTAAATAGCACATCGCAAAGAAATTTTATTTTTGGCGATTTAATGCTTTATGTCGAGGAAAAATTTATTAAGACTATAAAAAAAAAAATGCCCGAGGAATCAAGACATCAAAAGTAATTTCATTATTTTCTTTCATAAAATAAGTAAACAATATTACTTTAAAATTAAAAACACAGAATAATTACTTCATAAGTAATAAAACTTTAGTGTGTGAAATTTAAAACTATTGAATTTTCACTAAAATTTAAGCAAACTATAATTATATTATAACCAAACCATATCAACGTATCTTCTAACATAAATTTATTGGTGAATGCTTAAAAAAGAAACTAAGTAAAATGACCAAAGAAATAGAACATTATTTCAATATATAAGAATTATTTTATGAATATTTATACTCTGATAAATACAATAGTTAAGGTTATGTACAGTATTTAGAGATTATGTTTAATAGCCATATTAAGCAACAATATATTATTGTAAATAATATACATTATAAATTATTAAATTAAGTNTGAAGCGACAATATATTATTGTAAATAATATACATTATAAATTATTAAATTAAGTACATAATAAACACTAGGATCCTTGTCCTTAGTGTTTATATGTACTCATTAAAATATTCATATGGAAATTAAAAATTAAATCGAACAATAATACATATTTTTAAATGTTTATGACATAACTATGTTTATTTTAAAGCAATCGTAAAGTGCGTCCCAATGCCGCCTCGTTAGAAACTATAGCATGTCCAAATAAACTCTCTGGCTTGAAAAGAAAAAAGTCTCAGACTTTGCAGGTCTAAAAAATTAAAGAAAGAAAAATGGTTCAGAACTCTAGTGAATATAATTTTTTATATACTTCAATGTTTGAAATAAATTAAAATAGTATAATTGTCAATAATTTTTTTAGTACTATTGTGAAATCTAAATTTATTAATTTAAGCATATTCACAATTTATCAAAATATATTACATATCATTATATTAAATTAAGTATTGTACTAAATTTAAATAAAATATATTTTTCATAATAATTCTTTTATGAGATAATGTCCAATTCATATGTTTTATTGTGCATCACTTATCATCTAATAAAATTAACATCTAATTTTCAAATAAAATTTAATTAAAACTCGTTACTATTTGCGATGTGTTGATATATTAATATTTTTCTAGCTTTCAATATGCGTAAAAATCAACAAATAGCAGTTGATACTAACCGTGATACAAGTTCTAACTTTACCAAAAATAAAAAATCACCAATGGGATACTTTATTGATGCACCTCAAGGCAAATAAATGGTTTAAAAATTTCATACATAATGACTTTAAATGATTTAAGCAGATTTGGTACAATTTCCAACCGTAGACAAGAGAAAGCATCAGCTGTGGGACACTTTATTGATACGCCCCAAGGAAGACAAGTAATTACCATGCTCCCAATTTCTTTATAATGAGTTTTGCAAAATTCATAGATCTCACTCTTGATGGTGATGATCACGTAGAAATTTTGCAATCAATACTTTTGTAATGATTATTTAAATAGAAATTTTTATTTAGTATTTTTTTTAGCACTTATGTTTTTATAATTGTTAGCTATTTGTATTTCAAACAAATGTAATAAACTTCTTTTGTTTTATTAATTTTTGTACTTTAACAGATATATATCTTTAATTTTTAACATTACTAACAATCTACTTGCACAGAATTTTTTCCTCACTATCCTAAAAATACTTTTTATAATAATTAACTATCCTAAACAAATCATTAATTAAACATTAATATAGTCGATAAATACAGTCTTAAACTACAAAAATGAAATATAATGTATAAAATACTTTTTGAGTAATTGAAGCAGTTACTCTATAATTTTAAATATCTGTGAATTTCAACTTATTTTATACTTTTTTACATAAAAATGTCATAATTTTTACCCCCATATACATAATAATAATGTCAGTTGTAAGAATATATCATAAACATCTAAACATATTTAATAACAGTTAATTTTTTATAACATGTAATTTAAAGCAAGAATAAATAACTTTTGTTGTAAATAACTGGTGCTAACAATAAATCATATTTTATTCCATTTTTCATAATACAAGACTTTTTATTAAGTTTTTCCACAAATTTTTTTTTTAATTTTAAAGCAATATTAGCTTTTATTGGTAGGAAAAATTACATGAATTTGTTCAGATTTTCTTTAAGGTCTTTTAGAAATTGCTTAATCGACATAAATTTTAACATTTATTCAAGTTTCGAAAATTGTAGTAACTTATTGATTACTAATAGAAGTATTGAATAAATAAATTCTATCCAGTTGAATTTTGTATTTTTGTGTACATTTATGCTGCATAAGTGTTAAAAATAATTTTTTTTTTACTTAAGCTTTTAAAAATTTTAAAAATGCATTGTTTTAGTTTTAATTTGAGTAAAATATAACCAATACAGTTTAATATAATTACCTCAAAAGGTTACAATTTTATGAAAAATCGAATTTTTGCCACAACAGATAAATGTTGTAACTTGCATGTCACTGTGTAATATTATATTATTACTTATAATATTAAAATATTATATTATGTTATTTTTTGTACATGTATGTCATATATTATGAATTTACAAGATCACCAAAACAGAGTTCCCTTATTTGAAACTTAAAATATCAATAAATCAGGCAATTAAATCTGATTATCGTACAGATTCAAAGTAACGCCCATGTGCGGGTTTTCAATTAAGTCCAGCCAATCAGATTTAACTATTAATTAAGATCTACAGTTTCTAAGATCACACTAGGGATCGCTACACGACCCTCGTCTACTATAAAAACCCATTTTGTCCTATTAAAATCAGTTCTTTCGGCGATTTCAAATTACACAAAATCTGCGACACTCTGCTCAAGATTCTTACTCTCTGGGACTTAGTTTATTTTTTTAATTTATTTGGACTTATTTATTTATTTATTTATTTATTTGGTGTAAACGCCCAGGTGGGCTCAAGTACAGTGATAATAAACATTGTTAAAATAAGATACAAGTATGTTACAATTATAATTAATTAAGTACATAATATTAAAATAAATTTACAAAAAAAGAAAGGTGATTTAATGATATGCATCAGGCTACTAAAATCAGTGTTTTAAGGAATACAAATCATTCATAATAAACAAATCAAATTTTAATTTATTGCACTCTCTGGCTATTCGATCAACAGGGTTATTAAAACCGTAAGATGTTCGATGAAAAGGGATTTCAAATGTAGGACAAGAACGTGAATTAAATTTTGGAACGTGAAAGTTTATGGATTGTAATAGTTCTGGACAGATTATAGCACCATTTACTAATTTAGAAAGAAAGCAGACGTCTGTATATTTTCGCCTATTAACAAGGGAATCTAAGTTAAGGGAAGCCTGTACAGAATTAAGTGATATTGACTCGGAAGGGTTATTAATAGAAATCATACGTCTCTTATATGCGATTAAACGTAAAAATCTTCTTTGTACACGCTCAAGCGATTCTATCAATCCGACTTGTGAAGGATTCCAAATAACTGAGCAATATTCTAACGTAGGTCTAACTAAAGAAGTATACAATGTTTTTAGACACTGTTCATTCTTGAATTCTTTGGTATTCCTAATTAAGAACCCTAGAGTTCTTAGGGACTTCACACAGATATG